GCGTATATGAAGGAGGGCGTTTGTCTTGCCAGTTCTTCGGGGGTGCCTGCGTCCCCGGAGATCTGACCAACGCCCGAGAGCAGCATGGCCTTCGTGGAGCAAGGCGTTGCCCCTCCAAGGCGGGGGGAAAGCGCACGGCCAAAGTGCCCACCAGAGAGGGGCCAGGAGAGGCATTTCGAAGGCACTTGCAAGGCGACCGACTGCCGACGCGGCAGCAGGGAGAGGGGTGCTGGTGAAGGTGCTTTCGCGGAAAATTCCCGCTCAATGTCGGCGTTGCCTGGATGTATTTTCATAATGAGCCTAGGATACGCGCCATGCATCTTGTTGGCCGCGTAATAAGTGGATCTGCCATGGGCTGATGCGTAGGCAGGGCCAGAAAGCCGGCCTGGCAGGCAGGCAGCCGAAGGGTGGGGAAGGCTCGCGGCCGTTGCCGGAAAGAGGAGTGGCCGGCCCCCCTTCATGCATTCGGGTGTCCTCACTGGGGGGCGCATGCAATGTGCGGTCTTTTGCCCGGGAGGGGAGAGAGTGAGAGCGAGAGCGAGAGCGAGAGCGAGAGCGGGCGGAGGAACACAAACCTGCCCTCCACGACCGAGATCACAGCCAGAACGTCACGTCACCACTGGCCGTGGAGAAAGCGTTGTACCCCACAATGCGCGGGCCCCCCCGATCCACCTCTCGGCGAAGCGCCCCCCGCGCGGGGCAGCAAACATTGAAACAGGGTGTCCTGCACGCCTGGCGGCAGTTGACTTGGCCCGTGTGTGCGAGGCCGCGCTGAGCTGCGCTTCCGATCCAGTAGCTTGCCAGGAGGCTGGCTGTGGGGCCATGTGTGTGTGTGTGTGTGAGAGAGGGGGGGGGGGCAGGGGGGTAGCGTGAGTGCGCTACCCTTCTGTCGTCCCCCGGGGTGGAGAAAATGGCGAGTCGGTGGCACAGGCTGAGGTGAAGCTACTTTCCAGCACCATGGCAAGGGAGGATGCCCGCCCCCGGCCCCCCTCGTTGGGCGCGGAGCACACATCTCCACCCTCGGCCTCACATGCCAGGGACAGTGTCTGGGCAAAACTGCCAATCGCCATCGGGTGAACTGTTCCGGCCCCCAGCCGTCTGGAGGCCAACGGCGGGTGAAGGGATCTAAGTCGAGCGCAGGCACATGTGCGAATGGGCTGCGCCGTCTCCCCCCTCCCTCGGTCTCTCTCTCTCTCTCTCTCTCTCTCTTACTCTGTGTCTTGTGTGTGTGCTCATGGACGAGTCTCCGTGCTCTAATGAAAAACATCGACCGCGCCCCGAGGGCCTGTCTTGCGGCGCCGATCCAAACACAGCTTAGCCCACAACTCCGACGGTGCCCCCGCCCTTCCTCGTCTCGTCTCTTGGGCGCCACATTTTGGGTTTTACATGGGGCCGGAGTCCAAGCTGTTCAAGAGGACGAGCTTTTTGAGACGCCTGCCCCCCCCCCAGCGGGGGATTTATTTCGCGAAAGCAGCTCTCAGTATCGGTGGATGGAGTGATCATTGAAGACCCATGCTGGGGGTCTGGCCGGTGGGGGGAACATGCCGGGGCGAGGTCGCATACCTCCCCCAGGCCCCCTGTCTTGCCCCTGCCAGCCAAGCGGGCATTCACATGTGCCGAGGGGAGGGGGGTGGCACACATCCAAGCCGCGCCCTACCTGGTATGCAGGGTGCGCCCCCGCCCCCCGGCCCCTCCCCCCACCCGCATGTATGGCAAAGGAGCCCGAAAAAGCCGCACTGGGCCGGGGGCCCCGCCGAGAGCGAGGAAGGGGGGCGTGTGTCGGTTGGCGCACCGACCATGTCCACTGGCCGGGCCTGGGCGTGTGTCTTGACGCGATGGGGGTTGCCCCAGCCCCTCTCCCTGGCCGCTGTTGGTGTTTGGCCCCTCGCACCGCAAGCAGGCACCACTCGGAGGTGTGTGTGTGTGTGTGTGTGTGTGTATGTGTGCGGAGGGGGAGGGGGCCACACGCATGCACCACCGCAGCACGGGGACATATGTCCGCCACCCTTGTGCGCCTTCACGTCCCGAGGGGGGGGGGTGGGGCGGGCGGCAAGGGAAGGGGCAGTACTTGTGGACCAGCAGGTCCTTGTTCTTGGTCCGTCAAGGTTTCTGGGTCCCCGGCTCCTCTCCCTGGTTGAGGGCCCTTCGCCGGCATGCCTCCCTGATTTGCCCCATGCCACCCCCCTGTGCCTTTTCCCCAAGACCGGCGCCCTCACATATCGCCTGCCCTCTACACGCATGGGAGCTAAATGTACAGGGAGGAGACGCGCAGGCTCGAAGATGGGGGCGCTCCCGCCATATCTCGCCCCCTGGCCCTTGAACAGCAGGGCCCATCGAGGTTGGGCGACGCCCCGGGCGAAGATGCTTCCAAGTTAGAGGGGCCCCCCGGCGGTCCCCTCGCCGGGGCGCCCGGCACGGCCCGTGGCCACGAGCCGGGACTTGGGGAGCCAGGACCGAACGTGAGCAGACCAGAGGAGGAAGGGGGGGGGGGGGGCGCTCATCTACCCTCCAGGGCCGATAGGGCCGGCGATAAGATGCTGTTCGACTCAGCCATGCGAGTCGCCGTGTGAGCGTGCGCAGAGGCACAGGCGCGAGGCCCTCCCTCGCTGAACGGGTGCGACTACCGTCCCTCAGCCCCGCCCTTTCCCGCCCCAGGGGGCTCGATGTTGTGTTTGGGTTCTGCCCCCGGGGCGGGGGAGGCGGGGGAGGCGGGGAGGGCGGGGAGGGCGGGGAGGGCGGGGAAGGCGGGGAAGGCGGAAGGGAGCACATGGGCGTCAGGTGCAATGTGCACTCGGCAAGTGCTCACACGCCTTCGCATGCCATGGGCATGGGCATGGGGTGCGGAGGTGCGGGGGTGCGGAGGTGCGGGGGTGCGGGGGTGCGGGGGTGCGGGGGTGCGGGGATGCGGGGGTGCGGGAGGATGTTCCCGATCGCACTCCAAGCAGCGCCCCCGGGCCCGGCTGACCCGATCAGTCCCGGGCCGCCGTGTGAAGCTTGGGCCGGTTGGCGAGCGTCATCGACGGTAGTCCGGTCCAGCTGGCGGGCTATGGGTCATCGGAAGGATGATGCGGATGATGTGGAGAAGCCCGGACACCGCTTGGCCCGGGCCGGCCCCTCCTCGGCTCCCTCGCCCGTGGCGGCGGTTTCCCGGCTTCCCGTCCACACCGGCCCGGTGGTGGTGGCGGCGGTGGCGGTGGCGGTGGCGGTGGCGGTGGTGGCCAGCACCAAGCATGAGCATATCCATGCTCCGGCGGAATAATGTGTGCGCGTGCCAACGAGTTGCCGGGGGCGGGCCGAGGATGAGCGATGGCGCGGCCAGGTTGACGAGGAGCGCGCATGCAAGCAGCCAGCCGATGAGTAAGATGCATGGGCCGCCGGCAGCGGCCTTGGCATCTCTGGTGGCCTGTCCGCACGCGCGTCCTGCGCCCCCGGGGCGTGTGTGCCGCTCCGGTGCCTTCGGGATAAATAAGCCGCACCGGCGGAGGCCACCCCTCCGGTCCGGGAGGCCGGTGTGTATGTGTGGGCTGGTTGTGATGGAGCGAGGCAATCTGCCTCTGCGGCGCTCGTGCGCCCAGCCAGCGCGGGCAGGGTGGGCAGGCGTTTTCCCCGGCGGTAGTCCCCCCCCCCCCCCCGGCCCCGGACGGGCTGGTGCAAATATCGGCGCCAGACGCGGCGTACCCCGCGAGATCCGGGCCTCCGGGTCAAAGGCAGCCCCCGACGGGCGGCCCGCCGCCCAGGGGCCCCTCCTCGGGTCCGGCGGGGAGGGCGGTCCCCAAGCGGCGTGGTGGCCTTCAACCCAGAGCGATTGGGCCTCCGACGAAGGCAGGGACTCCCTGCGATCGATCTGCGCCTTCGCCCTCTCGTCGCCCGCGCAGGAGGTCGGCCTCGGCTGCCCCCCGGGAGGCCCGGAGCGCGCGGTTTATTACCCATGATCGACCGGCTGGGGGCGGGTTCGGCCAGCCAGGCCGTTCGTGCTCCGCTCTTGCGGCCCCGGCCCTTGCCAAGGGGGGACTGGACGGGAGTGCTCAGGATCCGAACGCCCCCCCCCCCCCCCCCCCCCCGGCCCGGCCCGGCCCGCCCCATCTCGGGCCAGTCGCCGGGACACCGCACCGGCCCTCAGCTCAGGTACGTGTCGCTGCCGGGGCGAGGGGCCCGGTGCGTGAGTGCTACGGGGGCGAGGCCTCTCCCCTGAGAGGCGGGCGTGGCGGGAGCGGGCGCGGGCGCGGCTGACCAGTGGCGAGAGATGCCCCGAGGCACCGGCAGGGGTTTCGGGAATCCATGCGCACGGGTGAGGGTGAATTATTCGCTGGCCCTTGCTCCCTGCCGCACGGTCCGCGGGCGCAGAGGGCAGGGGGCAAGGAACTTTGGCGGTGTTGTTTCCCGCCCCTGAGGAGGGCGGACCGCGGGAAGCGGCCGGGGGGAGGGGGTGCTCCCAAACGCGCGGAGCCACCAGGCTGAATGTCGCCGGGTCGTTGTGCAAACGAGGCCGCGCGAGCGTCAGTCGGCCCCAGCCGGGCGGAGCGCCGGCGGGGTCGCCTGCACATTGTCATCCCCATGGGGGCCGGGGGGGGG